ACAAGCTTCGCCACGAAGAGGTCGACGGCGAGTTCGCGACTAACGGCACTGTGGCACTAGTGCGCAGTGGTGGCGGGGAAAGGGGTGCTCGTCGAGCAGATGCTCTTAGTGCCGCCCCGGGGGGGGGGGGATCTTCCCAGGCCATCCCTCAGCAACCACGCACACTAGTCACCGGGGCAGGAGGTGATGTGTTCCTGTAAGGGTTTAGGGCTTCGGGTTTTGGAGGTAGAAGAGCTGTCAGGGTTGACGGTGTTTTTGCTCATGGGACTTCAGGCGTAAGATTCACGTAGCTGCGGTTTCGGGGCCCCCAACCCACTCAGGTCTGTGAGTCCCTCTGACGAACTTATCGTGACAGAGCCCAGTGAATGCCCAGCCCTGTTTGTGGATCGCTTAAAGCTTTTGGGGTTTAGGGTTTAGGTCTGGAGATGCATGGATGCTAGAAATCCGCTGCGGCAGCGGCTGTCAAGAACAAGCTGCCTTTTGGCTTGGATGTGGCATGAGAAGAACTGGTGGGGTGCCTTACTTAGAAGTCCTTAGAAATATTCTACTACTTAAGAGTACATCTTGAGATACCCTCAACCCTGAACCCAAAACCCTAAACCCTGAACCCTAAACATATAGTCTCAGGGTGTCTGCTCTTGCGAAGCACAAGTTTGTGGCTTGGATTCTTTGGCAGCGGCCCGTGCCTTGGTTGGTCAAGCCCCATACTATAGAGTTTAAGACTTACGGTTTTCTGGTTTAGGGTTTAGGGCTTAGGGCAATGCCGCTTACGTCCAGGCCGTCAGTGCTACACAAACGATGGATGTAGTGGGCAAGAGATCAAAACGACCCTCCAAAGCATGCGAACACAACACAGACCTCTGAAAAACCACAACGGAACCTCCGAAGAACGAACCAAACCAACTGCAAATCCATTCAAATCCACCGAAAGTATTACAAACACTTGCAAACACCCTCGAAAAGACAAAAGAGGCCGCCCCTTCCGGTCCTCGTGCAGTCGATCTTCTTGCTCCTCACTTGCTGTCGCCTCCCACGCCGCCCTGGCTTGCGAATCTGGCCTCGGACAGCTGACCATTCGTTTAGGGTTTAGGGCTTTGGGCCAAAACCTTTGCAACAGTTTAGGGATGTTTAGGGTCTGGGGTCTGTGGGGTTCGGGCTTCACGGTTTAGCTTCGGGAGGCTTAGCAAGACTGTCACAGGGCGCGGTTTGAAAAGGTTTGGGCTTCAGAACCTGCAAACCACTGACCTGGACCTGCGAGATTTACGGCTGGCCCATGAAACGGTTTCATCGTCATTGAAGGCCAAACCCTACAGCCTGAATTTGGGGTCTAGGATTTCCCGAAACCCGAATCCTTAAACCGCAAAGATGATCGGATTTTGGGGTTCCCTTAAATCCCCGAAACCTATAAACCCAGAACCCTAAACCCTAAGCCCTAAACCCTGAACCCCCTAAACCCTAAACCCTAAACCCTAAACCCTAAACCCCCTGAACCCTAAACCCTAAACCAACCCAGTACCTTCAAGCAGGCGGCCTCTGCCCGTCGAAGATGCTGTAGGCCATGGCCCTGCGCACTTGCTCCAAGACTTCAGGGGCCGAGTCATTCGAAAAAAGGAGTCTCTCGGTGTGGGGTTTGGGGTGTAGGGTTTAAGGCTTCAGGGAGTAGGGCATACGGCCTCTAGTTTCAGGGTTTTAGGGTTTTAGGCTTTAGGAACATGTTCTTGGACCCCAAGCACAAAAGCTTTCGAACTGCGAATCCCACAAAACCACCATAAAGTGCTAATCTTCAAGACAAGACAGCAAGAAGCCAAGCCCTCGCCGCTGAAGCCACAAAGCGTAATGGTCCATAGCACTCATGGACTCATGGCGGTGAATGGTACGATTGAGGGTTGTGACAAGTATCTTCGTCCCGTGCCTCTGCAGAACGATCCAAGACGCTTCAACCGTTATCACACAGTTCAGCAACATCCTCAATCCTTAACCCTAAACCCCACCCTAAAAGCCTAAAAACCTAAACCCTAACCTCTGCCCTAAACACCTAAACCCCGAAGCCTACCCCAATCCCTCATCCGAGGGTCCTGGACACCAGCATCGGAATGCAAAAGCCCGCGCGATGGCCGGATGCACTTTCATCGCCCCATTCAGAGCGCACGCGATTCGCCTCGGCATCCTCTGATTGGCCTCGAAAAGAGCTGAGATTTAGGGACTTGAAAGTTTAGGGTCCAGGGCAAAGGGTTCATCACTTAGGACCGGGGTTTACGGTTTCGGGGATTTTGAACCACAATAGCAGTCACAACTTTCGCACAAATACCTGTAGCAGTAGTTTCGACACCGATACTAAACAAAATTGTAGATAGCGTGACTCCTTCTATGTGATGGCTCCGTCGATTTCACTCGAACCCACCAAAGACCATTTAAAACCCGAAAAGAGCTGAGGGCGCGGCGGAAGAGACTGGCGTTGCTGTAGTTGTTCAGGAGAATCCGCAGGCGCAGTTGCCAGACCTTGGATAGAAGCGCGCAGTGCTGAAAGCCACCCGGCACATATCCAATGCGAGCACATGGCTCGGCAAGCTGGGACCCTAAACCCTAAACCCTGTCGGTGCCGATGGTCGAAGCCACGGCAGGTATTTGTAGAGGAAGGGCAGTTCAGTGTTTGGCAATGCTATCACTACCACCATCATCAACAAACTGAACCACCACCACCACCACAACAAGCTCAATCGGCACGTGTGTGAGTGTGTGTCTTCCTTTTGTGACTCTGCAGTACTGTTCAGCACCGGGAGGGGAAGCATAGCTCCCGATGGCAACGATGATACTGGCCATGATGACAGCTTCAAAACATTGAAGGTCGCTATCATCATCAAACAAAGGCCGTCGGAATAGTCATCATCGTCGTCAGCAGCCGCAACAGCAGCAGCACCAGCACCAGCACCAACAACATCACCTTCATCATCATCATCATCATCATCATGAACCCTCCTCGCCAACACCTTCGTCAAGGCATTCGTCGAAGTCTTCTCGTGTCATTAATAGTGTTATTGTTATTCTTGTCCTTCTTCCTCTGCGTGTACACTTCCTTTGCTGCTCACGGTCAGTCCAATTTGATCCAACTTCTGTGCCCCCCCCTTGACTGACACTACTGAACCAAGTCACGGAAGGCTCGTGCTGAGAAGCATACACTCCTTCGCCGAACTGCGTGCGCTTCTCCAACAGCGAGGCCAAGAGCTCGGCAGTCGAGTTGGCGATGCTTTCAAAAGCCAGGGCATTTGTGTAGTGGTACAGCACCTCAGCTCTAGTCGCAAGGCCTCCAAATTCAACCGGAATTGGAAATCGACCATATCGCGCGAATCCTAACCCAAACTCCAAACCATAAACCTGGAGCCCTACAGCCTCCCTCAAACCCGAAAGGGAGATCAAAATCATCCGAAGCTGCCATCCAGGTGCACGAATAGCATATGAACAAACCTCCATAAGCTTATGCACAGGAAAAGATCCAAAACTGCCAGCGAGACTACCACGACTTCGTCGCACGCAGGATCCCGCAGGTCCAATGCGTGCTGCCAGGCGTGAACGGGCCCGTCGCTGGCATCGAACCTTGGCACCAGCTTTTTCGGTCTTGATGAGGGCTTTAGATGGATCGATCAAGCCCATAAGTGTACCATAAGTCTGTTATAGTGGTTGTCCGCGGCTTGATACGGACTTCTTGATGCTTTCGGAGGGTTGCGGGGCTAAACTAACATGCAAGGAATCTGGTGGCAGTTATGATGAGGATACAGATAGCAATGCTGATGACGATGACCAGTGCGGATCCAGCTGATTTTGGGTGTGATTTCTATGCCAGTCGGTGATGATGATGATGATGATCATGATGATGGTGATGATGAAGGAGAAAATGATGGATCACCAGCACGGTGATGATGAGGATGATGATGACGATGATGATGATGATGATGCCGGCGATGACTATGACGGATCAACGAGCTTGCTACTGGTTTGTTACAAACAGCGTCACATGCCAGGACTCGTTCTACCAACGCATACCGCTCATTTCGAGTGCAGGGTTTTGGGTTTGGGGTTTACGGCTTGGGATTTAGTACATTAGCACCGAGCTATTGCATCACCGTTCCTGCTTGGGGGCACCACCCAATACTGCCCTAAACCCTAAACTGCCGAGAAAGCCGCTGACCATTTGCACGGGCGCTCGAGGCTCCGACCGTGGCCCCCGGCCGAGCGTCTCGTCAAGCGGCGAGGGAAGGTAAAGCCTCCGGGTATACGAGGACTGTAGTGATGCTGACCCGCTCATGAAAGGCCAGGTGGCAAACTGTCACAGCATGTTTGACTTTCCAGTTATGGGTCGTCAAAGCTGTTCCAAAAAGACATTGCTTAGGTCTGCGGAGATGTGTGCGCAGTGCAAGGAGTCAGTCGATGGTTGGCTCATAGATCTCATGAACTTTTCGGAAAATTGGACAGGTCGCCCCCTCGGACCCGCCCAGAACGCCGCAACGGGTGGATGGAATCTGCCAGTATCTTTACTGCCTAACGGCAGGTCATCCTCTCTTCCGCAGCTCTTAAGAACTCTGGGTGTGCGGAAGATGTGGAGGAGCTTGTAACCGTTGGCCTTCAGACTCTCCAGCTTCGGGTTTCGGATGTATTGCCGTCTTTACAATCGGCTACGGGGCGTTGGGACAAGAAGCACGGGTTTCAGGGTGGTTTCTCAAGTCTTTTTGGTCTTCTGGTTTTGGCTGCCTGTTCTGGTCGGGTCAGTTACGCTTGCCAGGGTCCTCCCCCGTCTGGCCAAGCACCCTGACAGGTGCGAGGGGCGAATTGTTTGTTGGGAACCCTTGCTTCTCGTTGAGCGGCCGGCACAGGCCGCAGGGACCCCCAACCCGACACTAATCCATCTCAGCTGTGGTTTGAAAAGCGCATGTTATGCAGAACCGCGAGGGGAACCAGAGAGCAAGAAAGCCTCCCTTGAGGGGGGGTTTGGGGGTGAGCCATAAACCCTAATTGAGAATAGTTGGGGCCCCCACCGCGCGCACACTGTAGACAAACCCTAAACCCTAAAGCCTGAAAACTCTACAACCAAGCACTTTAACCCCGCACCTGCGAGCAAGCTCAGACTTGGATCCGTCAGGCTCGCTAACTGTTGATCGGCTTGGGGTTTAGGGCCGTTTAGGGTTTAGGGTTTATGGGTTTAGGGCTTCGACACAACATGCTTTGACCAAGTGGTGTGAGCATGCCACAGGCCCTAACCGCAGAGGTAAGGCTCACCAAAGCCCAAACAAACCCCGGCCCTACCAAGCAACGGACGATAGGAAGGTCCACATTTGCATACTTAAAACAAACAAGTGACTACGACGGATCCCAAAATAACGCAAAATAACCGGATGAGGAATGTAAGAATCCCAGATAAGGTATGTGCGAGTCACCGGAAAGTGCGAAGCTCGCCAATGTAGTCAGAGGTGTACTGCGCACTCTCCAGGAGCTCGCCGTGCCTACTTGAATGCTCGTTTTGACTCAGCACGTAGGCGAAGTAATGCAGTTGTTAAGTACGCACACTGAGTGCACAAATATGTATAGAGGCATTCTGTGCAATGCATATGTATATGTAACTCTATGTGCACGTATGTGTGTGTGTGTGTCTGTATGTGCATGTTTCTGGACACGTATCTATAGATGCATGATGCAGATGCGTATGTGTATGTGTAATCTGTTTTCTGTCTTCGACGGCGTGTACGTGAATATTATGAAAATGCCTGCGCTTGCGTGCGTGATTGTGCGTGTATATGAGTCATATGTACATGGATGCATATGTGGCGTGTATATACGTATGTATGCGTCTACGTGCGATAGTTACGAGATATACGTACGCATGTATGCATGTATGTATGCAAGCATGTGTGTGTATACATTTATTTATGCATCATCGCTACATATTCGGACTTACAAAACCTACACAAGCATAATCAAGTTAATCAAGCATGTGTGTCCACCTCGAACTACTGGAGGCCATAAATCCCGACCCGAAACATCGGAGTCCTACAGCTAGGATCCGGGCACACAATCGAAGCATCTGACTCCGAAGGCCACTCCCAGCCAACACCCTGCCCAGCCCTTGAATGGTTTGGGGTTTAGGATCCTACCACTGTAAACGACCCTAAACATCGATTTCGAATCCTAGCCCGTTCAGGGACAAGGGGCAGATATCCATGGGCGAAATATGCGGACAGCTCGGTGCAGCGAGAAGTTTGCAGCGGGACCTGTCGCTCGGTTTCTTCATGTAACTGATTAGGGTTTCTCCATGTGCCCACAAGGGTTCCTTTAAGGGTTCCTGTAAGGGTTTACGGTTGAGGGTTCCTTTCAAGGTTCCTATTTGGTTTTGGGGTTTAGGATTTTGGAAACTTGACCGGACGTCTCAAGGGCTTCGTGGCATTGCTACTGTCATCACACTCACCAGCACCGTCGTCAAAACGACTCACCTCCAATTCATCACGGTCGCCACCATCGAGTGAAACGTCTCAATACAATTCCAGTCACCATCGCCATCGTCAACATCATATTCGTCGCCGACATGATCGTTGTTCATCAGCAATGTCACCGTCATCATTTTCATCGTCATGGTCATCGTTGTCATCGTCATCATCTTCATCTTCATCGCTCTCTCAACATCGTCATCATCGTCATCATCATCATCATCAGCAGCATCCCCATCATCTTCACCAGCATCATCAAAAGCAGAAGCAACAGAACGAGGAAATTGCGACCACTACTCCGTCACAGCCAACACGAACTCTTCATGACACTTGTTCTCCATGACCCCATGATCATCACCCGGATCATTTTCAAGAACATCAACGCCATCCACCACCAGAAGCAGTGACTGAATCACCAATGTCAGCATCAAAAGCATTGTTTCCTGTCGTCATCTCCACTATCGAAAGCATCATCAGCATCAGGAAGATGATCGTCTCTCGCCATCTGCCATCATCACCACGAGAGCCATGAAAGTTACAAATTTGCATCATCAACACCACAGGGCATTAATTGAAATGCCGGGATGCCAAGGGAATGGAAGGACATGAAATGCTGCAGGATGATTTCAAGCCTGGCGTTCTGAATGAAGGTCCCATCTGGGATGTGA